ACTTCTTTAGTTACTGTTTTATGTTTTAAGAAAAATAAGTTTAAGAACCTATTTCAAAATAGCAATAATCTATATACATATATAATATATAATAATTGAAATTTGACTGTATTTTACAAAATACTAGTCTACTAAAACACAGCCAAAGCAAGTTACTCTGCACAGACCAAAGGTCAGTTTTATGTTATTTGATATGGTAACATGAGTGATTGAGAGCCACATCATGGTAACTTCTTTATTGCTAGCCAGACACAGATGAAAAGTCAATATAATAAGAATAATAAATATATAATGTTATGAGATTTAAGCTATTTAGTCTAAACATTTACGTTTTCGTGTTATAATTTGTGTTCATTCTAGAATGAAAGAGGCATAATTTATATTTATTTACTAATTTTTTATGGTGGTTACGAGATGAGTCAAATTTACCAAACCTGTACAGAGATTAATTCCTGAAAATAACAGATAAAATATAAAGTTTTTTTTCTTAAGAAACGTTTGACAACTATCTGGACATTATAAAGATTTTGCATGTGAAATTTCAACATTTTCTGATGCATAAAAGTATTTTTAATCTTAAAATGAATAGTACTTTTCATGATAGATAGGCAACATGCAAAAAGAAAAAAAGACATGAGAAAAACATTGCTTCATAAACCTTAAGACTTAATAAAAAAATTGATATTTGCATATTAAAGCATTGTATTGTTTACTGAATGTTAACATTCGCTTATTAATTTAAAAGTTATAGCATGAAAACTATAACAAGCACAAAATGGTTATAAGGTCGGTCCCACGAACCGAGCCCGTGCTGAAAGAGTTAAACAAAATTTATCTCCTTACAGATCAAATTACAATAGCTAAAATTTTCTTATGCATAACTACACATAGGTAAATAATCTTGTATCACTGACACTGAAGATGAGTAATGTCCATAAATGTATATATTAGGAGTAGAAGAACATTATAGTAAATCTGATAGTAAGCATACCTGTTGATAGAATATTTTAGCTGTCTATATGCAATTAATAAAATGCATTACATTTTTCAGGTTAGAAAACATAATAAAATTATGTATGGTATCAAACTTGAGTATGGTTGTTTACAGAAAGTATACAAGTGTGAACATTTTGGAATGATAAATCTATGTAATTAAGACAAAATCTTCAATGGCAAAAATAAAAATGAACCAATTTTCTATAAGTAAAAAGAGTTATCTGGTAGGAAGCAACAATAATTATATAATCATTCCAGTATTATCTCTCAGGAGACTATGCAATATGAAACCAAATCAACACAAAAACTATTGTTAAACCCACATTACCTCATTGTTCTTGATGGATTCAGCTGCTAATTGAAGTAACAATTCTATAGGTTGGTTATTATAAATAGTATGTCTTCCACCAACAACATTTCCCAGACAGTCTACTGTGTATAACTGTCCAAATACATTCTGTGGTCGTTCATCATTTACAAGACACACCTGTATAAAAAGGAAATTAATACATTGTAAAACATTACTGAGATAGGAAGAAGATACTTGCATCACTTCAATAAATTATATGGTGTATTCTTAAGTACTTCAAATTGATATACATAAAACAGATTAGCGAACAGACAGTCATAAACAACTAAAACCTCCATAACCAAATACTTCATGTAGAATTAATCTTGCAGATATCTTGGTCATTTCCAATATACATGTCATAAGATTTCTGCAAATTTCTATCTCTTGGAGTATCTAATCAAAGATATTGTTACAAATAATCAAAAACAATATTTAAAGTACTTAATTATTTAAACAAAGTTATTTGTGTTTTGAACATCACAAACTATCTTAATTTATCTTCAGAAGAAAGTTTTCACAAACAGTTGCTAGTTTTATAAAAGACATACAAAATGTTGCAACTCATGTTTTTTCATAAAAACATTTATATACTGCAATTACTATGTCCATAAAACTGATCAAATGAAAATTATCACATTACAAATATGACAAAATACTGTTTCTATTTTTTTAATTTGAGATTAATTTATTGTGCTTTTCATCTTATATTACCAATAAAACCACTTTAAAACTAAAAATTACAGAAAAGAAGTTTTAAGAGAATTTTTATTTTGGACTGAACAACTTTGAAGTAATCAAAAACAGTAACGAGAAATCATAATGGCAATATTTCAATTACTTGGATAGTTGAAATAACTGAAACAAGTAATAACTGGAAACAATAATTTCAACTAATTCATTATTTTCATGACATTACTCTATTTAATCATAATTTCAATTGATTATTTTACGTGACACTGACCAACATAACTGATACTTGTAGGTAATCAATTATATCCCAGTTATAATAAACACCATACATGAAGAATAATCTCCTATCTACTACAGTAGAAAGATTTTATAACATAATTACCTTATCCTCTACATTGAAATGTGGCTTGACATATTCTTCATAAAACTTCAGTGAAGTAATAGGACCAACAGAATTGTAAGTTTTATCTTTCTTGTAATATTCCCAAAAGAAGGTTTCTGGTGGAACTCCCAGGCAAATACCAACCACCCTAAATACCTACAAAATACACACATTTGCTGACCTTTCATTTTTGGTAGTAAACATTCCAATTACAATTTAATTGCAAGTTTATTTTTACCTGTTATAAATTTGGTAATACTTTCTTTATAAATTACAGTTAAATAATAATAAAAACTCAGTCAAACTGTAGCAAAACAAAATATATCTTAATTCCCCATAAGTTAGAAAAATCTAAAATATAATATCTTAAGCTTTTTTAGGATAAAAATAAAGAAGTTTTCATAATAAATAACTAAGAAAGCAATCTTTATTATACTTGAAAATTACATATACTTTATGTTTCTCCATTTAAGAATGTAGAATATCTTTAAGAATAAAAGTCAGTTATATGTCCTAAACTATTTTGATTTTTTTCAGCATCTGAAAAATGTAGGTGTGACCAAAACAAATTTTATAGGTTTGAAGTCAACATTTAATAGTACTGCAATGGACACAGACTACTGAAACAATAGAGTATTTATACATGTTCACTTCTATCATCACAGCTTGAATGGTAGCTTATCATTACCTGTCACTACAATCATTTTAAATTCTGAAGTCCACTTAGGCCAAGAAAATAAATAAAATTGAAAACACTTTGATAGCTTTCTTACAGATAATACATCTTTCATAAGCTCTCACCACATGTCTATCACTGAAATTGTCATAATATATCTTCTGGATCATATGAACAGAAATGAGTTTAAATCTCCGAACAGAGAGAACATAGAAGAAAGTATAAGAAGTTCTATGATATAGGATGATTTGTTCAGAAAGATATGTAAATTTATAGTTTTATTCACGTCAACACCTTTAATTGAGCGTTCAAGGTCCACAATGTCATCTAAGTCAACCTGTAAAACCTCTGATCTCATTGGAAAGTCATATAAGCAATATGTCATCCTTGTTACCACCATTGAAGACCAGGAATCTGGCTAGTCTGAAACATTTGATGATAGTACTGTATTTTATGTATTTCCATCACTTGGGAATCCAGTAATTAGTGTCAACCATGAAAGTCTGGCAGCAGAGTTCTGTTACAGTCTGAGTCTGGTCAATCGTTGAAAGTAAGGACTTGATCATGAGTTTGAAGTAGCTGGCTAGGAATGCTCAGATAATTCCAGAGTCTAAAGGTTGCAGTACAGAAGTTGTGTTGCCTAATAAAAATTTAAGTGTTGCATGTCACTCAGTCCAAGAATTTAGGCTTGTAAATCCAAATTCAGCTGTCTAACAACATCAGAACATTTTGTCATTACTTTCTCAATGTTTGGGTGACACTTCTATCCAAGTCAGTGAATAATCTGGAAGTCATCCAAGATTTTTTGTTAGCTTTGCATGCTTCTAGAAGTTGATTTATATTGATGTTTTTAAGTTTCTGCCTTTCCAATGACAAGTGGTTTAAGTTTTTATTCTGCGATGCTGTTAGCAAACACCACTATTAGTCTTTCTTTTACTGGCTTCCATAGATACACTTTAACAGAAAGGGTCTTGATAATATATTTTTTAATAATATCAAGGTCTTAACTTCCACTTCACCATTGACTTTGAAAGAGTTTGCTAAATTGAGGGTTCTCCAACAATCTAACCAGCTGTTGGATGCTTTGAAGTCAAACAGTGAGTTTTCTGGCATGTTTGTTTGTTTGTTTTGAATTTCGCACAAAGCTACACGAGGGCTATTTGCGCTAGCCATCCCTAATTTAGCAGTGTAAGACTAGAGGGAAGGCAGCTGGTCATCACCACCCACCCCCAACTCTTGGGCTACTCTTTTACCAACGAATAGTGGGATTGACCGTCACATTATAACGCCCCCACGGCTGAAAGGGCGAGCATGTTTGGTGTGACGGGGATTCAAACCCACGACCCTCAGATTGCGAGTCAAGCCCCATAACTACCTGGCCATGCCGGGCCTTTCTGGCATGTTGAAGTGCTTTCTCTTACATGATCAGTCATGATATTCATATGCCTTTGGAATGAGCAGTAGTAAGCCTTTTCTGCAAATTGTTGTTGATATTAAAAAAATTGCATGTATTGTTGAACTTATTTTTTGAAATCCACACTTATTCCATGTTGTTATAAGTGTCTTTCTTCACAAAACAGTATCACCTGCAGTTGACTTGCTGTCTTTCTACTTTTCTGCTAAGTCATGCTATCATATTTAAGGTTGACTTTCATATTCTTTTTTAAATGTTATTTCTTCATCAATGATGACTTGATATGTTGTCAATTGACTGGATGCTCCATTACTGATATGTAATGCACTAATTTCAAAATTATTTATATGAACAAATTGACATGTGATTAATGCGTTTAACCATCTGCTTCGATCCTATTTTTACCAACTACAGCAATGTGTTTTTGTAACAATAACTGTCACAGTGGCTGATTAGCCAGATCATCTGAATTAATTTTGCAAGAAAATAATTAGATATTATGGAAAAACTGCCAGTAGCCAATTTAATGATGGGGTTGGTAAAACAAGACTTATTATGTAGAAAATATGAAAGTTTGGCTGAGCTTTTTTAAAATAACCACTCAAGAGAAGTGGCCAAGTTAAAGATGTTTCACTTTACATCTAAACTGATATATTTAATAGATGTAAAATACCCCTTTTAGTTTTACATTTTATATACTAATTCCACAAACCTTTTATTTATTAATTCCTATTTTAATTGCTTAAAACATGGAGGTTAGTTATACATCAACTGTTTTTATATGATTCTAACAAAAACTGTCACAGTGATAAATCTATATTTTTACCAAAAATCACTTATGTTAAGCTACCTGTACCTCACTAGACTTTAAACACCTTCAAAAAAGACTTTCACTTGGTAGGTTTATTTTAAATAGGAAGCAAAAAGAAGCAAGATTTTGCACAGTTTTTTTATCACCCACCAACTTAATCTTTCTAATGATACTATCACATATATATATATATATATATGTAGGCAGATTTTGTTAAACAAGACCGATGTCTGTAGGTTTACTTTCTTCTTAGAATTCTTCTCAAGAAGTCAATAAGCCGTCTTAACGTTGTTAGAACAACGGGTAAAAGTTGTAGTTAGTGATGAGTTGGCCGACGCGTTTCGAGTGCATTCTGCATCCATTATCAAGACTGAATGTTGTGTGAATTGTGATTACTGTTGGTGGATATTTATAGGTATGGGTAAGCCAATTTTTACATGTGTCACATAGAAA